TTGCTTTTTGAGACAGGGTTTCTCTGTGTAGCCTTGACTGTCCTATAATTCACTGTATAGACTGGCCTTGAACTCATAGAGCTCCCACTGCCTTTGTTTCTGCCTCTGGTCCCCCAGTGATGGAATTAAAGATCTGTGCCACCACCCCTGGCCGCTGGCATCCATTTTCCACGATCATTGCTAAGTTTGAGATAGGAAAAGCTGGAGCTACTGCTAACTTTATTTCTTACCTTTAAGAGGTAGTGGGCTAGGGGCTGGTGTGATGGCTCAGCAGTTAAGAGCATTGACTACCCTTCCAGGGGACCCAGGTTCAGTTTCCAACACTCATGTGACAGTTCCCAACTGTCTTTAAATCTGGCACGCTCACACAGACATATATGCAGGCAAAGCACAAATGCACATAAAATAAAAATAAATACACTTAAAAATTAAAAGGAAGAGGTAGTGGGCTTTAAGGTGAAAAAGCACAGGGGAACCACGAAACAGGGAAAGGTGCTCAGGTGTCTCCTAAGCATCTGGATCTACCCTCAAGCCAGGAACTCCTGACATCCAGATCATATGAGACAATAAACCCGGCGCTCTTTGCTACATCTTATATATGGTACTATGAGCTGAGTCTCTGTTGCCCATCACTCCAGGGCTGCTGACAATAGCAGGACCAAGAAGACAGTAAGCTTTCTGAGAGCAGGGGTTACATTCCAGAAGCTTAAGGTCCTTGGGGTTGGATGTGGTGATGCTTTTTTTTTTTTTTTTTTTGAAAATGTTTCTGGACTCGAAAGGTACCAGAGTTTATCTGGACCTTGCAGCTGAGTTAATACATATGTCTTGAGATTATTTAAGGTTCTGTACTTTTCCTGCTGTCCTACTGTGTGCTCAGGATTATGCTTAAACTGCCTTTGAGAGAACAATGTAACTAAACCTTACTACGCCTTGGATTTTCCATGCAATCAGCTCTTATAACCTAAGCTAATACATAGCTTTAATCGTAAACTGTGTACTCTTATATGCTCCTGACCCAAAATATTGCGTGTGTGTGTGTGTGTGTGTGTACATGTATGTACGTACATATGTGTTGTGGTAATCATTTGCTGAATGCATCCAACAGGTTGAAGGCAACGTATACAATAAATATCTTATAAATCTTGGGAGCTACATGTGGATATACGGTGATAACATCTGTTTTGTAGTGTTTAGTGTTATTCTCAAGCAGCTGGGGGTAGTAAAGCAATTTCTTTCCTTCTGAACTCTGTTAGGATTTCTGTAAAGAATTTCTCATTTCTTTCCCATGCCATGTCTTCTGTGCTGCTCAATAAATGCAAAACAAAGCCCTCTGTGAGGAATACACACAGTCACAGATTCAGGACACACAGAGATGCAGGACAGACATAGTCAACAGGGATAGACAGACCAGACACACACACCAGATAGACTACGGACAGGTCAGTAATCACAGACAGAAGACACAGGGAGAAATGTGGAGAATTCACATTTGGGCTCAATGTTAGTCAAACTAATCCAAAGGGAAGACTGTGTTTCCATTAATACAGTACTAACCCAGTCGGGGGGGGGGCCTGTGTACCCCATCATGGTGGTTTGAATAAGAATGGCCTCCATAGGCTCACATATCTGAAGTCCAGGAAGTATACTATTTCAAAGGATTATAAGGATTAGGTGTGGCCTTGTTGGAGGAAATGTGTCTCTGGAGGGTGGGCTTTGAGGTTCCATTGCCCATGCCAGGCTCAGTGTCTCTCTTTCTGGATATAGCTCTCAACTACTTCTCCAGCACCATGCCCGCCACCATGCTCTGTACTGTGATGATAACGGACTATCCCCCGAAACTGTAAGTAAGCCTTCAGACTTTCTCTTAGAAGACTTGCCTTGATCATGGTGTCTCTTCACAGCAAGGGAACAGTGACTAAGACCCTCAGCATTGCGGCACTTTGCACGGGATGACCACAGAACAGTTGAAAAACAAAAACAAAACTAGGCATGGTGGCTCATGCCTTTAATCCAAGCACTTGGGAGGCAAGAGGGCAAGTCTTTGCCAGTTTGAAGCCAGCCTGGTCTACACAGTGAGTTCCAGGACAGCCTGGGTTAAGGAGAGAGATAGAGAGACAAAGACAGAGATAATCAGAGACACACAGAGAGACAGAGAGAGAGAGAGAGAGAGAGAGAGCTGTAACTTTCCTAATGAGAAGGTGTTCTTCAAGATGCGTAGGCTGAGGGGAATCCAAAAGAACAAGAATCAAGTGACAAGTGTTCTAATTCCTGTATGACAAGGCTTTTGCTGTCACTCTGGGGATGGCTGATGTCTCACTTTCTGAGCAGAGTGATCTTAGTCAAAAAGTTATTTGCAGGAGCCCATGGGCTGAAAGATACACTCCCAACCAACCAAGTGTCAGTCTCTCAGCTCCAGATGAGAAGACTCAGATTAAAACTAAACAGGCTTCTTTAAGGTTATAAGGGAGGTTGGCAAGATAGCTCAGTGGATACAAAGCACTTGCCACCAGACCTAAAAACACAAATCCCATCTGAGGCCCCATGAGAGGGAAGAAGAGAGCCAGATCCTGCAGATTGCCCTCTGACTTCCGTGCTTGTCCCACAGCATAAACAGACCTGTGGGTTAGCACCTGTACACACACGTCCAAATGACTGTCATGAAAAAATAAAAAGACTGTAGGTTGAGACACTTTTAACACATGACTTGCAGTCCAGAGCTGGCCTGTTTCCTAGCGCCACTTTATTAAGTGGTATGAATCAGACACTTATCTGGAAAACTTAGATATCTCTGAGCAAAATGCCTTCAAGTTCTCAGTTCCACCAACTGCACCCTCAGTCCATAGGAAAAGGAAAATTCCCTGCACCAGGAGGCAAAACCACCACCACCAACAACAACAATCCTGGTTATAGACTGAATTTCCTCCCATGCTAGTGGTGTGACTTTGAGTAAGTCTTTTGCACGTCTGTGGTCAGTTACCTCTCGGAAACAGGAGAGAATGAAGGTGGAATTTGAAGGTGGTGATCTCTAAGATTGCTAAATTTCAGTGATAGCCCTGTTAGACTGTCCATCAAATCTCAAAATGAAATCCCACATGGATTACCGAGAATTTGAGGGCCAAGAGGTCAGCAATCCATCTGCAGACTCCAAATTAAAGTTGATGGATTGGGGTTCAAGAGGAACATACATTCTTTCCAGCTTGCCTTCGAGGGAAAATACAGAGAAAATGCACACCAACACCTCTGGGCACCCCTGGGAAACGTGGAACAATATCCTTTTCCCTTCTTTTTCCTTTCTTTGTTCTTTTCAAAGGTTCTTAAACAGCTCCATTAGGACGGGTCCACATCTGAGAGCTGGCGAGACCTGCTCAGTGGTTAAGAATGCTAGCTGCTCTTACAGAGGGCCCGAGTTCCATTCCCAGTACGCACATCGAACAACTCACAACTACCTGTAACTCCAGCTGTATGGGATCCAATGCCCTCTTCTGGCCTTCACACTCAACTGCCTTTGAGCCCATCTTATCACCACCACCCCCATATTCATACACATAATTAAGAATTTAAATAAGTATTTAAAAAAAAAAACACATCCATATCTGAATATACACTACCTCCCTCCAACAGCCCTTGTCAGACCAAGTATCCTCTAGTAGGGCAGGGATTCCTCTCTACATTTGTTAAAGTTCTCTTGGGGAAGCAAACTAGCCTCATGACCTTGCCCTCACATCTGGCCTTCAGCCCAAGTGACAAGTCTTAATTTGATCACTACTGTGTTCTTAACACGTGACCTTGAGTGACTTCCAGAGCCCTTTAGAAAACTCCCACGCCTCCTTGAAAAGAGGGAGATTTCTTTCCAATGGAAAAGTTCAAGTGAACACATTCCCTGTGGCAGCCAAGTCTCTACTCTTAGTTCCTGCAGTGGCATTGTCTGTAAGTTCATATCACTTGTTTTTTGTTTTTTGTTTTTTTTTGGGGGGGGGGCTCTCTTGAAGGGCTAAACACTTGTTGAATATTCTGAAGTGCTTACTGCAAAGAACCATCTAATGGGCCATTTCATCAAGTCTTCTCATTTCTTTCTCATTCTTGGAAGGCTCCAAACTCTCTCCTAGCCTCTACCCATCTTCTTTCCCACCCTGTCATCCCTAGGCTTCACTTTGCCCTGCCCGACTCTCTTTCCTTTCCTGCAATTAGGCAAAGGTCCAGGTTGCTGAGTTTTCAAAATGTGACTGCGATCGAAGAGTGGGCGGGGACACACGGCTCTAATGGATCAGGGGAAACTGTCTCAGCATTTCTCATTCCCAAAAGGCCTTTCCCTGATCCTTAGGGGAAAATGGCTATCCCCATCAAACGGTTTAGAGATTTCAAGGGACTCATCACCATTGGATGTGGCACAGAACCCTTCCTGAGAAAGAGTCAGGGGCAGGCACATTTGAAAGGATAGAGATCATCTCTCCAGAGGTTTATGTTGCAAGCTTTCAACAGACACCTTGTACCAACACCACAGATTGCTTTCCCCACTCTCAGGAAAGGATTTAAAGTTTATCAAAGACCCTTTCATCTCTCCAATGCACAGTTTTGCAGATGAGGAAACCAAACCTCAAAAAGTCAATAATGCCAGCAAGTTCAAGGACCAAGACAGTCCCCAATTCGTACATCCCCTTCCCTCCCCCACTTCTAATAAGTCCTCATTCAGGGAAAAAAAATCCCTCAAAGAAAGCCTACAGAGAAGCCCCCCCCCAAAAAAAAAAAAAAACCCACGAACATAACGCTAACCCATCAATTGATCCTGCACCTCCAAGCAGACAGACCCAATTACCAATTCTAAGGATTGTCCCCTGGCCTTAGGTGGCTCTCTGCTGTTGAATGTTCTCCTCAATAGCAGCTCAGGGCTGGCCACGAAGTGAGTGTCTCAACACAGAGAATAATCCAGCTCTTGCTCTTCCAAGAAAGAGCTCTCACCTCTAGAGTCTTTGCTAAGAGTCCCGCGCCCACTCCTCCCCTACCTGCCAAAAGCTGCATCCAGGCGCAGATCTTGTAGACGGTAGCGGTGTTGCAGAAGAAGAAAAGAGCGAAGCAGGTGATGCAGCCGAGAATCAGCACCATGGAAAGCAACACGAAGAAGGCGGCCGCCTTGAAGGCGCTGGACGGGATGGTGCTGAAGTCGGTGAAAGAGCCCCGGCAGGTGAGCTCGCGGCCCGCTAGCCCGCTGCCCACGCAGTAGTGGAAGAGGCCGAAGTAGCCAGGCTTGGGAGTGCTCACGCTGTCGCCCACCCAGTAGGGCTGGATGAAGACCACCACGTTGATGATGGCGAAGCAGATGGTGAAGATGGCCCATAGCACGCCGATGGCCCGCGAGTTCCGCATGTAGTGCTCATGGTAGAGCTTGGAGGCCTCCTGCGAGGGCAGCATGGTGCCCGGGGGCGGGGCCGGCGGCGGCCGCTGGCAGGGGGCCGCCGGCCCAAGACGGACCACCGGGCTGCGGGGCCGGAGCTGGGGACGCAGGCGAGAAGCAGCCCTGAGTCAAGGAACTCACAAGGGCGGGGCCTGAGGCGGAGCTGGGGACCTGGGGGCTGGCTGGGGAGTTAAGAGGGGGTCAGCACAGTGATGGGGCGGCGACTTGAAGGACTAGCTAAGGTTTCCTATGGGGGGGGGGGCTGAAAGGGGCCATGGGAAAGTTGGGGGGTGGGATGAGGAGATGGAGGCTGGGAGTCGGGGGGGGGGGGTGCCAGAAAGTGCTCGTGGGGGAGTTCAAGAGGGAGCTTGGGAACTGGTGCTGGGGTAAGAGGGGCCTGAGGGGAGATGTAATGAAAGATGGAGATCAATACTGGAGCACTAACAGACACCGAACAGAGGGAGCTGGGAAGGGCATACTGCAGCTGTAATTAAGGGTGGTGTGTCTAGGACTGGGTGTCTGAAGGGGATCTGGAAGCAGATATACGCTTCTCTATGTGGAAGAGGAGGAGAGGTTGTCAGGGGCTGGTACCGAGGGCACGAGGAAGGTTACAGTAGGTCCATGCAGGGGTCAGGGGCTGGTAACCAAGGCTAGGTGTTGGGGTCAGGATGAGGCTAGCATGGAGTCGGGGGCTGACACTGTAGGGTCTGCGGGTCTGCGCTCCTGGCGGGGATTGGTGGTGGTTGTAGGGCGCTCCTTAGAGCCCTGAATGTCGGCGGCTCGGGGGTAGTCTAGGATTGGCGGGCCAGGGCCGGGGAGAGTGGCTTTCAAGGCCAAGGGAACAGGGGGGCTGAGGCCAGCCGGCTGTCTGGGCCTGGAGGGGCGGGCAGCGGGCAGGGGCCGTGCTGGGGCGCAGGGGAGCGGCTGGGCCCGGGTAGGGCCAGGGCTGGGGGTGGCTGCCCAGTGCCCAGCGCCCAGGCCCGGACACGCGCAGAGGCTGCGGCCGCCGAGAAGGGATGAGGGAGGACCAACCTGGGCCGGGTCGGGGCAGGTGATCCGGGACCAGCAGGGCTTAAGCGCCGGGGCTAGGTGCTCCAGGCAGTGGCTGCCTCGGCCCAGGCGACGTCCTCTGCGCGGCCTCCATCTTGCTCAGGCTCTTGCCGGGACGCGCTCCCGCGCCGAGGCGCGCGCTCCTGTGCACTGGCGCGCCGCGGCCTGGGCGCGCTCCCCGCGCGCGCGAGCGCGTGAAGAACAGAAAGGAGTGGAAGGGGAGGGGGGTTGGGGGAAAAGGGGCGCTCCAGGTCTTGGCAGCCAGAGGTAAAGTCAGGGACGGTGACCCTGACGTCCCTCAGCCAGAGCCACAGCCCCCACCCCAGCCCTGACTGCAGGCCTCCTGACTGCGGGACTCCCCTTCCGCCAGCCTGAGTTGTGGGGTTCCGGCTCCCCACAAAGCCCATGGGGATGGGGGAAGGGACCGAACAAGGATTATTTGATAGACGTGGAACTCAATCTCTTCATTCCGGATTACCACCTACCACCTATGACAGCGCCTCCAGTCTCTCCATTCTGCTTGTACGCCTTTGCGTCTTGGAGGCGTTGAAGGTTTCCAGAGTCTCCTAGGAAACTGTCAACACCCCCTAGGAGAGGGAAACTCCTAAACTGTTAACACCCCACGCCAGCCCGTGGGGATTCCTTGGCCCACAGCACAAGGAGATCTGGCCAGGGAACAGGACCCAGGCTGAGTACCAAGAGGAGGAGAGAAAGGGGCTGGGGAGTTGTTTTTTCCTCTCTACACTGCCCCCCGCCGCCCCCCCCCCCCGAGTGCTCAAATCGATGAGTGTCATGAAGTTTGGACATTATGAAGATCTAAACAACAAAGCCTCAAAGTTAAGGCTAGTGATTAGGGCAAAGAACCACCCGTGGGACACTCGGAGGGGAAAGCAGCTTGACTCAAGTCTTTTCTTAGCCTTTGGAACACAAACTAACACTGTGACCTTGAATTCAAGCTCTCTGAACCTGTTTCCTCATCTGTAAAGTGGACAAATTATGCTCCACTTTACAGGTGTGTGTGTGTGTGTGTGTGCGCGCGCGCGCGCACGCGCCTGTGCGTATGTGCCTGCTCACAGAAGCATGTGTGCAAATAATCCATGTTAGTAGATCCCAAACACTGGGCCATTTGTTGGAACTCTATACGAAAAAGCTCATACGATATTTTCAAATTTTCTTTTTCCAGTGTAATAAGGGACCTGTTTTTGTTTTTCTGATTACATATTTTGTAAACGTCTGCCTTGTTTTGGGGGAGAGTATGTTCAGACAGGGTCTTGCTAAGTAGTCCTAGCTGTCCTAAAACTCACTATGTTAGACCAGGTGAGCCTTGGACTTGCAGTAATCCTTCTGCTTCCATCTCCCAGTGCTGAAACTGCAGGAATGCACCAATACACCTGGTTTGTGCAGGGTTGGGGATCAAACTCGGGGCCTCTGTACATGCTAAGAGTGCATTCTACCAAAAGTTACATCCCAAACCAAAAATTTCAACTTTAAAAAAATATGGTGATAATAGACAGGGTGGGGGTTTTGTTTGTTTGTTTGTTTAACGTCTTTGTAAGAAACAGGCCATCTGAATGTCAAATTGTAATGGGAGAGTGGATCTATGTAATTCCACAATCTGAGACCTCTCTTCCATATGAACTCACCTTCCCACAGGGTCAGAACATGGACCATGATTTTGGGTTCCCTTTTCACTCTCTTGGAAGAAGCCTTCCTTTCCACGTGCCGAGGATCCTGTGGTCCTGGAATCATGAGTGGGAGGGGCAGGGCAAGGAATCTCCTTCAGACCTCTTCCACCTTACAGATGGGGATAGAAGCCAAGGAAGAAAACTGACATACGGATGGAGGGAGACAGCTACACTGGCAACCTGAGTCACGAACTTACTCACCAATCTAGCAAGCAGGGACAAGGCTGCTGAAGTGTGGCAACTCCAGCACCGGGCACAGAAAACAAGAGGACACAGAAAACAGACAGCTGGGGTTCCCAGAATCACTGGGGAGAGGGAAGGTACAGGAAGGAGAGGGCAGGAGGGGTCGGCCTCACCGAGCACTAGCAGGCGTCCCGCTGAGGATGCTTTCACTCTGGGTGCCTTCCAAGCAATTTCCTTGCTCTATTCCCCACTCCATCATAAATTATTCTTTTCCTAGCCTGCTGAGCCAAGCTAGGCGGCCTAGAACAAAAGGATATCAAAAGGTCCGCTGAGAGTTCTTGCTGGTCTGGGTCCATGGTTTCACTCCGTAGGACAGAGGCTCTCCACAAAGTTCTGTCCCCACCTCTTTAACAACAGTGCTTCAGCCCCATATGGCCCTCCTCACTCAGCTTCTGCCTTGATCCTGGGGCTGAGCCAGTTAATTTGGTTTCTGCTTAAGCCAGTTTCTCTTCCATTTTAGTTGTTGTTTCCAACCTAAATAGTCCTAAATAATTCATCTGCATGCCTCCGGAAGAGAGAGCAGGAGCCTGTATATTGATTTGGTTGTTTGCTGAGACAGGGAACTCCTGTAACCCAGGCTGGCCTCGAACTCACAATGTAGCTGAGGATATAACTTCAAACTTCTGATCCTCCTGCCTCCCCCCTTCCAAGTGCTAGGACTGCAGGCATCCACTCACTCGCTTCAGTGGGCATTTGTTTGGTGTTTGTTTTTAACAGAAGAATGTCTGAATACATGAGCCGCTCAGAACCAAAAGACTAAAATCTGAGGCCAAGCTCTGCCACATATGATCTGTACAGCTCAGAAGACAAACACTACATTTCCTGGGGAGGGCAGGTGTGAGAGGAGGATTGAGATGTGTAGCCCAGGTTGGTCTTAAACTCACTCAGATCCTCCTGCCTCAGCCTCACAACTGTTAGAATCATAGGTGTGTACCCCTCCCAGGCTTGGTTGGTGGTGTTTTGAGTCAGGGTTTTACTCTGCAGCCCTAGCTGGCCTCCATCTGTAACAATCCTCCTGCCTCAGCCTCCCAGGTTCTGATGCTGCTCTTGAAAGTCTTATTTTGAAAGCTTATTGAAAGTCTTGAAAGTCTTCAAGTAAAGAAAAACACACTTCCTCCACACAGATGCTGGGAGGATCAAAAGAGATAATGGATAGAAAAAAGCTTTGTAAATGGAAAAAGGGCTATAAATATAAGTGATTATCATTAAATTTTAATAATAAATGATATCTCCAAAGAAGAGATACAGCAGGAGGAGCCTTGGAGATGCACTTGCTGAGCTGTGAGGAGCCAGGACGGGATGTGTCCCCATTTTAAAGGGTGAGCTTAGAGCAGTTGCAGAAAGAGAATATGAGATCCATTCACAGGAAAAGCATCTTGATGGGACCAGGAAAGGGCCAGACAAAGATGGAAAGATCTTAATGGCAACAAAAAAGCCGAACACGGCGGTGCATGCCTGCAGAGTCAGTGCTTCAGAGGCTGGAGTAGGAGGATGACAAGTTCATGAGCAACGTAGCAAGAGCCTCACTATTGACAAGGCTCGGGGTGTAGCTCAATGGAGTGTTTTCCTTGTGCTCATGAGACCCTGGGTTCCACCTGTAAGGGAGGGTGTTCCCTGCCCAGTCAAAACCAAATTCCCAACACAAAGGAGATTTATTACCCTGGAGGGTCCAGCAGGGGGATTGTGGGGAGGCTGCAAAGGCAGACAGCAAGTAGCAGCAGCTGCAGCAAGCAGAGAAGGAGGAGTGTTCACACCGCCTGTGGGGGTACATGAGTTTAATCCTAGCACCTGGGAGATGAAGGCACAGGAAGTCAAAAGTACCCCGAACTACATAACAAGCCCCAACCCGGACTACATGAGACACTTTTAAAAAATAAAATATAAGGCTGGGCATGATGGTGCATGCCTTTAATCCCAGCAACTCAGGAGTTAAGGGTTGGTGGACTTCTGGGAATTCAAGAGAGCCAGGGTTGTTACACAGAGAAACCTTGTCTCAAAATAATAATCATCATCACATTATTGTTATTATTATATCTTTAAAAGGAGGGGACAAGAGAAATAGCTTAGTTGGTAAAGTGCTTGCCATGTAGGTGTGCTAAGCTCAGCACCCATGTTAAAGACAAACAAACAAAAAAAACAAGATGGACATGGTGACACACACCTGTAATCTCATCACTCTGGGAGGCAGAGGAAGGCAGATCTTTGTGAGTTCAAGGCCAGCCTGGTCTACAAAGTGAGTCCAGGACATCCAAGTCTACACAGAGAAACCCTGTCTCAAAAAACAAGAACAGACAAACAACAACAACAACAAAGGCCCCACCAGTCTCAGCAGCATATGTGCTGAAGAGGTAGAGACTGGAGGATTCCTAGGGTTCGCTGCACAGCCGGGCAAGTGGAATCGGTGAGTTTAACAAAAGGTGGTGGACAGCAAAGTGAGAAGACAGTCTACATTCAATTCTGACTCTCAAATGCTTGTTCATGCTCTCTCAAACACACACACACACACACGCACACACACACGCACGCACACGAAAGAAGAAAGGGAATGAGGAAAGGAAAAAAGAAAAATCAAGTCAAGAGACCATAAGGCAAGGACAATGCTTGTGGAGCTCCCAGTTGATACCCTAGCCAAGAAACACCCATAATCTGCCTAAGCGCACAGTTAGACTTGTGTTACCATCTAGGTCCCCCTTCCTGTATCATTTAGTATTTCCAATAACCCCTTGACATGGTGTAATGAGCTGAAATGTCACCCTGTCTCTATGTTAAAGATCTAACCCTCAGCAACGGGACTGCATTTGGAGACAGGGCTTGAAAAGACGAGGTAAAAAGAGCTGCAGTATGTGGACATCTCATGACTGGCATCCTTACAAGGAAGAAGAAGTTAGAACACAGATGGAACGTAGACCAGTGGTCCTCAACCTTCCTAATGCTGAGACCCTTGAATACAGTTCCTTGTATGGGGGTGACCCCCAAACATAAAATTATTTTTGTTGCTACTATGTTAATCATAATGTAAATATCTGATATGCAGATGGTCTTAGGCAACCCCTGTGAAAGGGCCATTTGATCCTGCCCCCAAAGGGGTCATGATCTATGGGTTGAGAACCATTGACTTAGACCAAGAGACAAGCATACGGATGCAAGTAGGAGGCAGGCATCAATGGGCTA